CACAAACAAAAAACGGTCCTGGGCTCGTGCTTTGTTGGCTGGGTCTTGGAGCTTCGCGCAGCAATTCCAGAGCCTGGGCCCGTTTTGTTTTCTCTATTTCATTTCGATCAAGTCTCGTGATTTCCCATAGATTTCCCGCGGCCGCATCTTACACCCGCCTACTTCAACTGGACCCGGCCAGCTCCAGCGATGTCAGCCAGACGCGCAGGAGCGGGCCCCCCCATGATGGGACAGCGCTGCGATGCCGCGCAGGACACCACAAATGGCGGGAGCGTGTGCAGTTACAGGAACACGTGAGATCACTTCTCTGTGTTGTTCTGTGCATTGCCGTCTATCTACGGCGAAGCTGTCCTTTTTTGTTGGAAGGGGTACCGTGCTTCTGGTCGAAGCCGTCGCACCGCACAAAGCTGCGTAGGCCAAACGCAGAGGCCCCAGTCAGGGAGTCCGATTGAGCTCCAGGCGGAAAAGCGGCGTGCACCAGCAGGATCTCGTCGCAACGGTTCGCCATGGTTGGGAGTCGGTGCGCTGGTCGAGATTGATAACTCACGGCAGGCTGCCAGCATACTCCCGGGCACTGCTCCATCGCAGCCACGCACACCAGTGCCCAGCATTACAAAACCGCGCTCAACAAGTGGCTTGTCCCCACACCACACACGTCCGCCGTTATACTGCAGCTATACCCGGAGGCGGCAGGCAGGCCTGTGTCGCAGCTGTATGCGCGCATCTTCCCGTCGTTGGAGGCAATGCCACACTCCGCTGGAACGACCTCGACTACTGTGTCGGGGCGGCTCGTGCTCGCTTGCGTGACGTACAAGTCGTCGAGGAATGCCAACAGAATGTCGGAAGGGATGCCCCATTGCTTATGCCATCGCTGCACCCAGGCTGCTCTCGCAGCTTGGCGCAGGGAGCTGTCGTGCTCGGGATTCTTGCATTCACGGGCTTGAAACTGTTGTATCTTGGTTGTTTTTTCTGTCGCCTGTTTCGTTCCGAAAGGCTGGCGTGGCGGCTTGCCACGCAACGGAGCCTGCCAGCGCGCGTTCGCAAGGACCCTGTGCTGCCTGGGCGTCCCCGGCCAGCGGGAGTGCCAACGAGGATGCACTGCGCTAGCAACTCCGACCAGCGGGTAACCCCGGCTGCACGCGTTGCCACCAAGCGGCGACGAGCGCACACAAGTTAGGTCGGGTGGCATTTGCTGCGTGGGGGGATTCCTTTAACAGCTCGACCCAGGTGCACGGCTGGCGATGGCGGCATATCCTGGCGTTATCGACAGGGCGCTGGCGCTGCATGCAATGCCAGAGGGACCGTTCGCGACATGTCGCAACAACGTCAACGCGGAAGCATGCGGAAGCCATCGTGTTCATGTCAGCCAAGCATTGCGGGCTACCCGCGCCCGGCTTCCTGGCACACCTCAGCAGCTGCGCTGTCGAGAGGAACGGCCCGAAATGCCAGCACACTGGAAGTCGCACATGCAGCCGTATGAGCGTGCCCGGCAGGTGCATGTGTGCGGAGCGAAGGCGGCGGCAGGCGGAGCCGGCATAACAACCGTACGGCGCCGTCAGTTGGGCAGAAGTTGGCAGAACTGCGAAGGCACGCGCTGCGTATGGCCCGGCCCGCGACAGCAGCCGCTCGAGATGCGGCATCAATGTGAAAATGATCCAAACTGCCTGTCACTGGCGAGGGTCACTCGACGCCGCCAGCCTCGTCGTAAAAGGTCTCGTGTTCATCGCCTGTACCTACGTGGTTTCCGGTTTTGCTCCTGGAACATTTATTGTGCGTGAAATGGCACCGGGCTACACCGTCCACATCCTTCCACATGTTCACACACAGCATCACACGCAATGAGCGACCTGCGGTGTTTTCGTTCATTGCCCCGATTGACCACGAACAGTCCCCACGCGTCGTCGAGCTCCCCAACCGCGACCGGTGCCGAACCCACGCCGTCTGAGCGAGAGGTAGCGAGGACGGCGGCCGGCGTGGTTGTGCACAGTGGCGAGCCATCAAACACGGGAAAAAGGCGGCCTTACCCTGAAAATAGCCGCTAGCCTGGTGTCGCTTGCAGAGCGCAGCGGTGGCGACGGCTGCCAAGCAACTCCAGGGAACAGGGAACGGCGATTTATTGAATGAGGGCTACATTGAAGGCGAGCTGAAAACTGTGCCAGAGTTGGCGACGACCGCCATGCGTCTTCCGTTTCCTTCCGACACCAGCACCAGCCACCTCTGCGCATGTTCAAGCGGCAGGGCACGAGGCGAGGACGCCCAAGTAGCACAGGCAGTCCGGTGGCCCATGGATACCAGGGGCATTGACGCTCTCGCGCCAGTTGCACATGCGAAAGTCTGCGCATGTTTGCGCGCACAGAGGCGAGCAGCCTGGAGGGTTGAGATATCTTGGTGCGCCCGCCATGCCACTTGCTTGGGTGTTGTTGAAAGGTACTTTGGTTTTGCACAACATAACAAGGAAAGGCTCCTATTGCAAGGCAGCCAAGCTGCAAAGTCTGAGGAATGTCATCCGTATGTTCGATGCAGTTTTGAAACGTGGCACGAGAGTTAATCATCAACCCTTGCAGCATGCAGCGAGCCTACTCACACAGCTGTGACAGAATATCTTCACTCGCCCCTGAGCCCAGCAACACCGGCATCGACTCCGTCGGTGAAGATTCATCTTCGATGATCTTCGATGGGTTTGTACCAATGCTGCAGCATGTCCTGCATCATGGAAGGGCTTTGGCCTGCAGGTCGCAGCAAGCGCACGGTACGTGCTCGTAGCTCCTCTGCCACACGATTGCAGTGTGTTTCTCCGATCAGAGTATAGAAAGCGTGGCCGGTCATGTAGTTGTCTTCAGCAAGCACGAGGTAAGGATTCTTTGCCACTTTTTCCGGGGATTGTACACCCAGGTCGCCACGGAATCTTCGCAAGACTGCCTGGTCGCGGAGCTTCAGTTGCAGGGCGGAGTCGAAATCGATCAATTTGATCGAACAGCTCGAATCATCCTTCCAGCAAATGTTGGCAGGCTTGATGTCCAAGTGCGCTACCAGCATGCCATGGAGGTGAGACACGGAGTGGCAGGTCTGCCGAAAGGCCTTTGCTGGAAGACTGTTGGAGGCTTTCTCCGAGCAATTCCATTGCGAATCCATGCATCCTCCACCACGAAACAAAGCACATCCACTAAATTCGCATGCTTCATGCTCTGTAGAAGCCTGGCTTCCGGGTGCAAAGCCTCTCGGTCCTGGTCTGGATTAGTGTACACGTTGGGCTGGTGCCTATAGGCACCAGCCCAACTTGTACACTAATCCAGACGAGGACCGGGAGGCTTTGCAATACTGTTTCATAGCCACAGGGCTGCCCTCAAGAAATCCTTGGTACACAATGCCCAGCCCACCATGGCCGAGCTTCCTTGTCACTCGCAGAACGGAAACGTCAATACTTGGTACTTTGGCCATGTCCTTCACGCCTGATGACGGCTCACGCCCGTGTGCCCGAAGCGGTATGCAACCACTCGCGGCAACCTAAATTCCAGTCGTAGTGAGAATCTACAAATATCTACAATGTGCCTCACAACTTCAGACTCAATCAGCGAAGCAGCCTTAGGGCGGCTCGAGGGTTGCACGCCCCAGGTCCGGGTGTAGAAGAAAGCCCTGTTCCCCTGCCGGGGAAGCGCACGGCTTTGGAAAAAGCCATGTCGCTCTCGGAGACTTTGCTAATTCTAGATTCGCTGCTCTACCAGATCCTCAAACGGACACCAAAGATCAAGTCAAGATTACCGCTGTACTATATGGCAACCTCAAGCAGAGCTCATGAAAGCTCCTGCACGAAGGCATGAGCTTGGAATCATGTGGCATCCTTTGTGCATCATCTGCATGGCGGCAGTTGGCGGCACACCATCTGTTTTTACATCCTTGCCGGAGGTGTGGAAACGACCAGCAGCCATCCACGTGTTAGCGCAAATACGGGACAGGCTTCTTGCGTCTGGATCCGCAACGGGTTGGATAAGGATGTGCGACCAGGATTTGTTTGCAGATTCCGTCCAATGAATGGGTGGTTCACAGGACGGAGATACGAGAGCGAATCTACAAGGACTTTCAGCTGATGCTGATGATGCTCGCCCTGCGGTTCACTGAAGAGCCCCCTTCTGGTTGATCGCCGGACAGGCAGCGGTTCCAACCAAGTCCTGCTCGACTTTGCGCTCCATACCGCAGTCATTTGGGCCCACCTGCTGCACATGTGTACGACTTGTGGACCGTCTGCCGATGGTTTCGACGCATTCCCATGGGCCTGTGCAGCCCTTGGCCTCGAATGTGCTCTGTGGTGCACAGAATACCTCGCATGCCTTCCTGTCATGGGCATCGCGGCATCACCGTGACTGCCCTTCATCGGACAAGGCTGCAGTTTTGTGTGACAGCCACCTGACTTCCATGTCAAGGAGGCACTGGTATGTCGCCATTTATTTCAACGCTCTTCGAGCAAACACTCATGCAGTCTGATCGCTATGAAACGTCGAAGAATAAACAACAGCAACGGTTGAACATAAGGCCCTGATTTCGTGTCGGCAGGGAATGCGCACAATCGGCGACATCTGTATTGAGGCGGGTTTGAATTGCTATACTTGCGCAGCCCGACTTTGTTCAACTCGAGGCATTGGAAGTCTGTGTGGTTTCACTTCGTCCAAACGTGTTCCAGCGCTTGCAAGCTCGCATGCCACCTTTTTGGTTCCGTCGGGCCTCGCAGAAGCTCATGTTTTGAGCGGAGGGGAGCGACTCTAAGACCAACACAACTTGTTGTTACGTAGTCTATGCTTGCTGAACCACTTCCCGCTCTCTAGTCCCAGTTTGGTTCAGTTCACGTGACGTTCTGCTTCGGGGGAGTAGTGTCGAACGCGGCACGCAAAGGTGCCCGGCTGAGCGTTTGCGATCGCAAGTACGCTCCTCGGCTTAGGTGAAACCTGAGACATGATCACGTCTGCCGCACTGGCAGATACAACTACAACGAAGCGATGGAGATCGGCTCATACTGGTCGCACCACGAAAAGGGGAACCTGCACCAGGAACATGGCGACAAAGTCCAGCTCTTAAAAAGCTACAGAGTCAACCGGCGAGTCTACGGAGCAAGTCCACCTTCAGCAGTGCTCCTTGGGTCTCTGCCTGCATGAATAAGCTGTGTCCATGCAAACAAATGATGGCGTGCCGATGCAAGTAAAGCCATGGGATCAAGAAGGAGAGCCCCACATGCAGAGCGTAGGGAGCTGAAACCTCAGGCAGCAGAAACGTCAGCTTCACTGACGAACAACAGATCGTAGAACACTGAGTTTCTTGCTGGAGCCGTCTGCTCGGTCCATTCCATCTCAGACACTCACCGCGCAGGACGAATGCACTGACCATCACTACTACGAGTACAGCCCCATCGCTCGGAGGCCATTCGGCCAGCATTGAAATGACACATCCTGTAGCATATTTTCGCGACGTGCACTGTATCCTCAAGACACCAGGTATCCGTTGCAGTCAATTTCAGAACATTTAGAACTCTCATATAGGCCTCCGAGTAGTAGGCTCCTTCGTGCAACGACTCCCAGAGAAGATAGCCGATTTACGCTACAAGTACTATTCCAGGGGCTCTGGCAGGAGCTTCTAATGCCATTCCTTAAGGCTCCTTCCTTAAAATACGTATACTACCATTGACCCCAAACCTCTGTTCTGCTTATTACGACCCCTACCTCAAACTCCTATCGGAAACCCTTACAGGAACCATTGAAAGGAGCCCTGTTATCTACTCGTAGGCTCCACAGTCGTTTGTTTTTGGGATTACCTTATAGGATCCTAACTAAGAACCACAGAAAGGAAGTGCAATGGAGCCTGTGGGTAACTCCTAAGGCCTAAAATACCTATATCTATATACTATAAACCCTGATCAAGGAATATACCTTAAATTATAGTATATAGGGGACCCCAAATCGTAGGAGCCTTATTATAAGGGCCCTAAAATAAGGTACCCCTTTAATTTTCGAAAGGATCCCTATAGGCCCCCTAGATCAAGCTTTCCGAGGCAGGGGCTCCGAAGGCGACTGGGGACGCGCTCACCAGGTTTCCACGCACTGGCGAAGCGAGGGTGAGAGCACAGGGAGAGTCAAAGCTTAAAGGCTGAAGGTGTGTAGTATCTTTTTTGTTAGGGTTTATCTAGTTTAAGATTTCAGGGGTTGGACAACGAGCCCACTGGGCAGGCACGTGGGCACGTTGGCACTTCAACTGCTGAAGCCTCACTCACTGGCGGATTTGCTGAGTTCTCACCATCCACGTCGCGGATCCCTGAACTGTCACTGCCCTCGCCCTTCTCCAACCCTCGTTGCGCTTGAGAAGCCTCCGACCCATCCCCCTGATGACCCTTGTCTGGCACAACTACGAACTGATGTCCGAAGGGCCTAGGCGGTTCGGGTTTAGGGTCTTAATTTCTGGATTTAGACGAGGTTTCAAAGGGTGTTTGTCCCCTGCTCTGGAACATCCGCGGTGCCTTCTGCTTTGTGCCGAATCTTCACGGCCTTCCTGAGCTCGGGTCTGGATGCGAATTCGGTGCAAGCACCCAGTCCGAAAACAGCTTCTCTCCATCCAAAGAACCCGTGCCAGAGCTCGGGACTCAAGAGCTTCCTATCCCGCCACACTGGGACTCACTAGGAAGGTTGCGGTGCTGCTTTGCTGGAGGCTGGCATAGGCAGCGAGACCATACTGAGCAACGGCCCTACCAGACACGCCCAGGTCGCGGCGTCTCGAACACACCACGGATGACGATGTAGACCTACAAAGCACATGCTGGTGTCGTGTCAAGCGAATTGCCCGCCACTTAGACCGTTGCGGAGTTCAACTCATCCTTCTCCTCGAAGACTGTAGCCTTGATGCACACAGCATCCAGCGGAGAAAGGGGAGCAGAAACCGAGCACTGTTGCATATAACATAGCTCCGCTAATAAGTTCCCAGTGCAGGACCATAAGGACAAGGACATTGCCGGAGTTGGCGAGCATGCAAAGCGGCACAAGAGCCGCCGGTCACTTCGGAAACTCAAAGCTGTCGTGCTTCAGCCTTTCTCATACGGCAAAGACGGCTCGCCATGTTGGCCCAGGAAACTTTCTTCACTCCTGCATGCCTTCTTCTATGACTCGGAATGTTCGGGAACATGAACTACACTGTAACTACGCGATTACTCGAGGACAGCTTGGAATGTGCTCCCAGCTCCCGGTAGTTTCGAAGATCCTACGTCCTGCGCTTGCTTGTGCAGATGGCTGATTGAAACGACAGCAGCGAACCTCGACATTAACGACGGCGCCGAACCTCGACATAACCAACAGCCGTTGCTGCTCCCATTCGCCAGCTTTTCTAAACGCATGGACAGCTGCATGTAAGGGTCCCCAGGGGCGAGCTTTCAGATGAATCGTGCAGCACATCGGTGGACAGGTACCGAAGTTTACGTCCGGCATATGTGCAAAACTTGCGCGTCCACGCGCGCAGTCTCACTTCCGGACTGGCACAGGGGATCCAACCTAAGCCTGGGAAGGGGCATCTCGGAGTCGAGTGCGCCCTCCAGTAGACTACCACAGCGCCATTGGAAAAGCACCGGTTTCCTCATGATATAAGCAACGGGGCTTGCCTGCTTGCCCCCAGCCTCAGCAAAAGGCCCAGTTGGAAGCCACCCCGTGGACACTGTGCTCTACGACCCTACGACTTCGCGCTTTAAACACAGCGGCGGACGAAGCAGCTGGCAGCTGCACAGCGCAGCGACTTCGGGGCTCTCACCGTCGCTGGGCCCCGACGGTCAAGCAGGCGTCCGAGTGGGAGGTGAAAGTGCTGGAGGCCATCGTGGCTACCTTGGTGGCTCCTGCAGGTCCGCTTCTACTTCACTGCCGCTGTTGCAGCGGCGCTTCGGCTCTGTTGCTGGGCGGTGCAAACCTGCCGGTGCTCCTCTTTCTCCAGTGGGCACAACAAGCAGTTTTGTTCGCGGACCCTCGTGGCTACTTCTGGTGGCTTCTGAAGGTCTGCTTTTACTTCACTGCTGCTGTGCGGCGGCGCTGCGGCTCTGCTGCCGGGCGGTGACTTCTGAGTTCCAACGGCAAGGACACTTGAGGCTGGGCGTAGTGTTTTCACCTTGAGCTGCGGTCTTTGCTTGCAGACTCTCCTTGTAAGTCTTTTAGTCGTGTCACAACTCGTGTCACAAGAGTGGTAAGCCAGTCGGACTCTCTCAGCTTCCGTGAAGGCGCCACCGCTAGTTAAAGAGCTTCAGCCCGCCTAGAGGTTGTCGCTGTTTTAGTTAAACGTCGTTGGCCTCGCTGTGCTGTCTTCTTTTGAGCTCACTGCTTGTACAGCCTACAGCTTCCGCAGTGCTTCTTCGTTTCAGCTCTCCGTGAGACCTGAGCTGTTCCGACTTCTCTTCCGAGACAGTGCCAGTGCGGACGCTCGAGGGCGCACAGGTTGGACACAGAACTTGGACCATGCACGAAGGGGCTATTAGTGTGGGTGCCCCGATGGCAAGGTGCGCTGTGGCAACGAGATCTGATCAGACACCCGTGTGCAGCCTAAGCATAAACAACTGCAGTGGCCGTCAGTGAGCATAAGGCCGCGGCGCCTGCCTCAAACTCCACTTCGTCACAGTGCCGCAAGGCAGTAGCCAACCGATCATCGGACTGGGCTGCAATCACACAACACACTCACACACACACACACACACACACAGACACACGCCCACCAGCAAGGACATGCCAAATGAGGTTCAGCGGCCTCGCCCGGAAGACAGACCTCAGCATCACAAGCTCACATGAGAAGCTTGCGACAGCTCTGTTGTATTCTGTTGTGAAAGCTAGGACTGCTGCACTTTTGAGAAGCCAGGTGTGGAAGGCCTTCTTCATCTGCCTCCCGCCACCGAAAAACCGACGTCTCGCGATGATGCGCCGTCCTCTCGCACGGACCTCTCCAGTGCTTCTTGCTCTCCGGTCCCTGCTGAAGCCAAGATGTCCTGGCTCTTCTTCTGGCTCTGTCACGCCCACTCACGCCCAATAGGCCCTACGGCAAGGCCCTGAGGAACTTGCCACATCTGGGTTGAATTCATAAGGCCCGGTCCGGAACTGTGCAGGACAGTGTCTTGACCTCGCAGGGGCCCACTCTGAAATGCTACACCTGAGCATGGTTGGTGAACATCTGCAGCCTCTCCGGAGTGCGCGGTTACCTGACCACAGAGACATAGGAGGCACACAGACGGGATCCCGAAACGAACGCCTTGATGTCGTATGGCTCCTCGTACAGCAGCCTGTCCCTTCATGAAGAGTTTTTGTGAAGACGGCACGACGGTTTATGTCCAAGTTTGGCCCCTGGCATTCCAAACGACATGCCGGCCAGCAGCAGCTGACCCTGGGCTCGTCATCAACTGCTGACTGCAGAGGGACGAATCATTGCTGCACCTCTTCCTCTCCGCACTGCACCGTCACCGAGCCAGACTCGACGATGTAGAGCCTGCCCGAGGTCGATGCTGCACCGCTTGTGACCTGGCACTGCTAGTGCTGAGACCTGTCTGCCACATCCTCCGGGTCGATGATGACATCACCCTGTCGAAATGTCTGTCGTTGGAGCCTTCGGCCAGCTTTGATTTGCTGCCAGCTCTGAGGCTTCGAGGTAGGCATGACAAGCCAGCGTGTGCTTCTGTGTGTAGGCCATGGGTTTGGAGTTTAGCGGCCCTCACTGGCTCCGGCCACACCAATGCCGCGAAGACTTCCTCTGAAAGAGCAACTTGCTGCCCGCCAGCTGCCTTCGTGCAATGGTGTTCTTGGCAGATGCGGCGAGGCCCGTCAAGATTGGGATACTACCAAACACCTTGGCCAAGAGATGCTTCCGACTTCTGACTCCGAAACAACTCTCAACGAATCGGACGCCTGAGCCTTTGCCAGAATCTGCCTCGGCTCTTGCGAGGTCACATGACAGCCAAAGAGCAACAGAACGCAAAGGGCCAAGGGCCATGCATCTTTGCGATCTTGTCCTCACCGATGAGGCCAAAGATGTCCTGCGAGTCAAGGCTGGTACGATCTGGTACGGTAGCAGGGATCTCTGTGCCTCCCGGGTGAGGGAGAGCGCTGTCACGTGCGTCGCCGCACGCACAGAGGCAGTTCTTGGCATGTCCTGGCAACAGAGGGATTGAAAAGCTCTCTCCGACCGGTCATCGAATCTGGCAAGTGCGGCAAACATCGTCGCAAGCTCTCCAAAGAACGCGCCCTTCTTGAGCTGGGTGAGCACTACCTCAGTTCACTCTTCCTTAACTAGATCGTCATTTGGAGCGATTTGGTTTAACCGCCCCACCTCGTGATCATTCAACAGCTTGCAGGCATCGCACACACCCCGCTCGATGATGAAAAGCATGTCGCCAATCTGCGTCAGTCTGCTCGCGACCCGAAATAACCAATAGAGTTGTCCACCTCCCCTTCTTGGATGATATATCTTCCCGCAGGGAAATTCCAAGGCCTCAGAAGCTAAACAAAGAAACACAACTGACCTCATGACCGCATGTGGAGAAGAAAAGCCGAGGCCGATGACTTCAGCTTTCCGACGAGCATAAACTGCTCTTCCTCGCTCAGGCAGCTTGGACACTTGTTAAACGGTGTGGGGGGATGTGTGGGGACGAGCTCATGCAAGAGTGAACTGTGGCACGCCTTGGTGAGGACGTCTTCGGAGAAGAGCTGGATCCTCTTTCAGGCGTGTACGCATATCCTCACATGCCCGGCCTCCGGCCATTCCCCATCTTGCATTGCCACGTCCGTCCCTGATGCCTCGAAAGGAACTGTCGCTGCTCTTCCTGGACGGCCCTGAGTAACGGCCGCACGCAGCCGCATATCTCTGCAACTTCAAACGCTTCTACCAGTGAGCTGTCGGAACCGTTTACTCCACTGCCCAACCATCCACCGTCCTAGCTAGCTGCATTCTGTTCCTCTTCTTATGAAGAATGTTGTTTAGCCGTTGTTGCGATTGCGCTGCTCCTTGCTTGCTCTTGGTTTGATCTATTCACTGCGATGTTGCACTTGATCTTGGCACCTGATAGCTTTGCTGTGGTTCCACAAGTTCCAGGCATGGCCCTTCTCCTCTCAAGATAAATAAAGCAACATCGGCATCACCTTCCACTGTCGTTCCACCACGAAACTCACGAGCATCCTCGGGAACATGGCCATAACCATCATATCCAGCATGACCAACAAAATCCGCTGCATCGTCGTCATCGTTTTTCATGACCATCATCATCATGAGCAGCAGCAGCCGCAGGGGCAGCAGCAGCAGCAGCAGCAGTAGCAGCAACGGCAAAAACAGCGACAACGGCAGAGAGGATCTCATCCGGGTCTACGGTGACTGCATGTGATTGTTCGTGCTCTTCGTTGCCGGCTTACCGAACAGGACGAGCTTGCTAGGCATGTGAAACCGCCGTAGTCTGCCAGTGTACGAGACTAGCTGTGTGCCTGGTCCATCATCTACTTGCTTATTTGTGTCTCCATTCACATTGTTTGGTTCATCCCGTCCTGCCTCCTTCGGCTCCATTTTGGTCAAACAGAAGACGTCCATAAGTTGAATGATTCGATGCTTTTGCAAGATTAATCTGCCTATTCGTAGGCGTGGCGACTAAAGGGCCATTGAGGCGACTGCCATATCGAACTTGGTGGGAAGCGTATCAGTGTCACGTCCGTCAATGCCTCACAAGCTTCCGAAACATACGCCCGGACATGGCAAAGCTGGCAGCCAGCTGAGCCAAAGCCAACTGAGTCAGAGACAACCAGGGTGTAGGGTGCAATAGCACTTTTGCTGGAGAGACACCTTGTTGCGGTCACAAGCTGCCCAAGACTCCACTTGTCTAGTCGCAAGCTGCTAAAGCACTGGAGTGGCGATAGGCTGAGGCGACCTCTCAGCCCCGAAGTACTCTCCAGGTGTCACATGCTCTGGGCCTCCGGATGCAAAACAGCTGCTGTGGCTTGGTCGTGCTTGCGAGCCAACGCTTGCGGCTCTGAGGCACAAGCAGTTCACATCTAATTTGGCAGCCTCGGCCGGGCTGACCTGCAAAGTCTTTGATCGCCGTGGCAAGGCTCAGGGCCAGTGGTGTCCTTGCCTTCGAATCGAAGGGTCGGCGCTCCCCAAGTTCACCATCATAGACCGCCACCTCACCTGACTTCAGCTGGTAGACCTCGGCAGGCAGCAGACCTGATGATCTTCCTTACATTTGCCGACATGCGGTATTCGAGCCCATGACATACTCCGAGCTCGCATCCCTGTAAGCGGGTGTTCAGTTGATTCGGCACTTGTGCCAAATCCATCCAAGCAGTGCACAAAAAGAGGACCGACCACTTTGCAAGCATGCCGGCTGCACTTGTCCGCTATGACATTCCACTTCTTGAAAACAACCTGAACATATGCATGCAAATGCCAGGGCAACCACGCACGAATCTCGAGACGATAGCTCTACCGGACAAGCGAAGCTAAAGGCATCATGGATCCCCTTAAAGAGCTCATCCTGCACCCTCAGCAAAGGACAAGGAAGGCGCCTGCCCATTACTCTCCACGAGCTGATCCAGGAGGCCACTGTATTCGGCGAGCTTGCCAGACTCCAATACATAGACCTTCGTCGAAGCGACTTGCATGCAGCTCCGTGACGGAGATGCCGGGAACGATCTAATTCTGCCTCGCATAGTATCTTTTATGTGGGTGGTGGTCAAAATTAAGGTCCCTGTTTGGATACCCTAAATAATAGGTGCCGTGTTAAGATAAGGACCCAAAAAGGGACCATAATTTTGACAACCACCCATGTAGTCTACGAGATGCATAGACTGCCTTCAATTTGTGCGGTCTGTCGTTTCTTACTACCACCATCGCCGTCATCAACACTAGCATCCCTGCCGCTATCACTCTTGCACCTTGGCTGCTATTGTCGCTTGCTTCGTTGGTAAAACCCCATCCTGCTGCCACTAGTCTCAGCAGCATCAGTACTGTCAGAAGGCTCCCGACCACCACAGTCTACATTGGTAGTGCCGCCAGATATTTCCGTCACAAATGCATGCGCATGTTTGCCCGCTCTTGGATCCAGTTTTCTACACCATTCATGTACATCCAGTCACACTGAACCAGACGGTGAGAGCAACGACGGAGAGCCAAGGCCGGGACATATCTCAACATAGAGTTCCTGGCGGCAGGGGATCTCATCGCGGCTTGCCCAAAGCGCCGGCGGGGGAATTCCGGAAGCTGTGCAGAACATGCCAGCGAGTCTGTGGGAAGATCACATTCCACTTGGAGAACTTAACCTGCGGAGCGCTCAGCCCACTTCTAGGCACTCGCCGGTGCTCGAAGAAAAGTTTCCATCCTTTTTGCTTGACAAAGCTGGCCGTCGCACAACTGCACAAATCAAGATCCACTGCTCCCAGGATTTCTGTTGACCTACAAGCTGCTAAGACGAGGCATGCAAAGCCCCAGTAATTTCTGCATGGCCTCCTCCGCCTGCTTGAAAACTGCCTCGAAGTTCTCATCCGCTAATCTCTTGATGGCAGGAATCCTTCAACTCCCATGAATAGCGCGACGTCACTACACTTGCACGCAGGCTCTGAGCTTTCGGCTGCCGTACCAAGTGGGCCCGGATGGATCTGTGTAGTCTCGCTGCCTGGCCCGGACCGGACCAAGAGCTCTTTGCGCAAGGCATCGCGGGCGATGTTCCAAATACTCAGAGAGCTCACCATCTCCTGTCTCTGTGAGAGTTCTTGGCCAGCAGTGTTTACCAGCTCCTAGTAGAGCCGAGCGTGCCGCGTACTGAGACTACCGCTACGGGTCTTCTGCAAGACAAAGGCTGCTCCTCATAGCTGATGGAGAGCGTCATGACCTCCAGGTCGTAAGCAAGACACCCGGGCATGGGGCGCAAAATGTTGCTCAGGGCCAAGCCACGTCGCTGTCAGCTGTTACTGTGAAGCCCATCGGTGCTTCGAAAAGCCTTGGAGAGAGAAGCTGTCTTGGCACATTTCGGTCCTTCAGCTCTCGCCCCGAGAAACGGACAATCCCCTCATCCCGAAGTACTGCCCAGGTCCCAAGCGCAGTTCCTGCACCAAACTGCACATTCATCATGCGCCGACAACCCCGTTGAAACCCTGAGGGCCTCCACGGCAGCTCCGGACCGGTTCCTGCATCGCAGAGCCAAATAACCACACGGCATGAGCCTGAGCCGCGCACGCTGCGAAAGCCTCTTGGGAGGGGTCATGACGATGTTTCCCTGCTCGATGATGTACATGCGGGACCTCACACCGGTCTCGAAGTAGGAAACTTGCAGAGCCTTCGGAAAGACCCGAAGCCCTCGGTCAACGACGTGATGTGATTCTGGCCAGCAAGAAGTGCTCCTTTGTGCCACCTGCTTCAAAGAAAAGCGCCGCGAGGTTTTGCAAGCATGTTGGCTGTATCGCCAGCTTTATGATGAAACATGATGTCTGGATTGCTCTTGCTCTGAATTTCTCGCTTTGATGTTTCACTAATGATTACCACACGCTACTGCTACTTGTCATGATGTCGTTTTTGCAGTGACAGGGGTTCTTTGTGCAGACTTGGCTGGCATGCCTACTATTCTCGTAGGAGCCTCAGCCGCAAAACCCCGACCCTGAACTCATAGTCCCAAACGGCACACACCAAACCCACAACCCTAGAACCCTAGCCCGCGAAATCCTAAACCGTAAACCCCAAAGCCTGCACCCAAGACCTCAACTCCCTTAATTCAGGAATATACCTTAAATCATATGAGGGATCTTATTATAATTTCAAGGTATATCCCCTCATTGAGTGATATAGCCACCAGCAACTCGGGCTCCAGACTTCTGGCTCTTCAGGGCATGGGCGACTTTGGCCTTGCCCCAGCGCAAGGAAGACTTGTCATTAAGTGTTCTTGCCGTCGCTACTCTGCTTGTTAGTATCACTATCGTTCGCCCGAGGCTTCTTGGGTTCAGCTGAGTTTTGTTATGGTTCGCACTATTCGCGGTATTGCGATTGTGTAAATGTGTTTATAGCTATAGTAATCGAAGTGGTGGTTGTAGCAGCAGTAGTACTACAGTCCCCAGGTTAGAGTGTAGCTTTGGCTTCCGCGTGGCTGTCCTACAGGTCCCAACGTGCATGTCCACGACGAGTCCAAGCCGTTGCTCATGGAGCATGCAGCCCTGACTATGCACGTTGCACAGAAGCCCGGCCATTGCAAATCGCAACAAGCCGCGGGTAGGCCGTGGCTCGGCTACTTCTAGCAGCTTTTGGTACGGTCGGGTCGGGTCGGGTCGGGTCAAACTGTCGGTGGGTCGGTGGGTGGGCAGGTGGGTAAGTAAGTAGGTAGGTAGGTGGGTGGGTAGGTAGATAGGTAGGGTCTTAAAGACACCTTCTTCTCAGCATCCAGGTCCGCAAGCAATGGCACGCTGCCGAAGACCTCCATTTGCAAGGACAAGCTGCTTGCCAAGGTCAAGGAAAAGCTTGCGGCCTGCGTTCGTGCAATGAGCTTCATGCGCTCCAAGTCCTAGCAACGAAAAAACATCTGACAGGGCTCTGCATCACATGGCTCTGGCTGAGGAAAGCCTCTGCACTCAGCTGCTGCAGGATGTCAGCTCTGCTCAGAGCAAGGGCGATCACCCCAGTTTGAGTTTTCACCTGTCGATCACAAGCTCCAAGCTGAATCCTTGACAGAACTTAAGCCCTCGCACCGTTGCAGTTCTGGGCATGTCATAGAGGACGGCAATCTCTCCGAAGAAGGCGCCCTGCCGGCGAAGGGTGGGAAGGCACGGTCTCGATCAAAGCTCAAATCGCCTTGCTGAGTTGGCCGATGGTCACCTCACGGCCATTCAGCTTCTTCATCACTTCGCAGACACCCCCTCAGCAGCTCGGACCAGCATACATGCGAGAGCTGCAGTGGCACTAGCACCTACCTATCCGGAGAGCACGGGTACTCGCAGTGCTACCACATCACGATCCACTTGTCTTGCTGGCAACTGTTCACCCAAGTCCAAGAACGCAGCGCTCGATGATGTAAAGCTTGTCGCCCACCTTCGAGTTTCGCCCACGACGAGCACGAGTAGTGGTGGTGGTAGTAGTAGCAGTAGCAGTAGCAGTTGCAGTAGAAGTAGCAATAACAGTGGCAGTAGCAGTGGCAGTAGTAGCAGTCGTAGTGGTAGTGGTAGTGGTAGTGGTAGTGGTAGTGGTAGTGGTAGTGGTAGTGGTAGTGGTAGTGGTACTGGTACTGGTACTGGTACTGGTAGTGGTAGTGCTAGTGGTACTGGTAGTGGTACTGGTAGTGGTACTGGTAGTGGTACTGGTAGTGGTACTGGTAGTAGTAGTAGTAGTAGTAGTAGTAGTAGTAGTAGTAGTAGTAGTAGTAGTAGTGGTAGTGGTAGTGGTACTGGTAGTAGTAGTAGTAGTAGTAGTAGTAGTAGTAGTAGTAGTAGTAGTAGTAGTATAAGTAGTAGTATAAGTAGTAGTATAGGTAGTAGTACAAGTAGTAGTATAAGTAGTAGTATAAGTAGTAGTAGTAGTAGTAGTAGTAGTAGTAGTAGTAGTAGTAGTAGTAGTAGTAGTAGTAGTAGTAGTTGCAGAGTAGGAGCAGGAGTAGGAGTAGGAGTAGGAGTAGGAGTAGGGGTAGGGGTAGGGGTAGGGGTAGGGGTGGGGTAGGGGTAGGGGTAGGGGTAGGGGTAGGGGTAGTGGTAGGGGTAGGGGTAGGGGTAGGGGGAGGGGAAGGGGCAGGAGTAGGAGTAGGAGTAGGAGTAGGAGTAGGAGTAGGGGTAGGGGTAGGAGTAGGAGTAGGGGCAGGGCAGGGGTAGTAGGAGTAGGAGTAGGAGTAGGAGGAGTAGGAGTAGGAGTAGGAGTGGGAGTAGGAGTAGGAGTAGGAGTAGGAGTAGGAGTAGGAGTAGGAGTAGGAGTAGGAGTAGGAGTAGGAGTAGGGGCAGGGCAGGGGTAGTAGGAGTAGGAGTAGGAGTAGGAGTAGGAGTAGGAGTAGGAGTAGGAGTAGGAGTAGGAGTAGGAGTAGGAGTAGGAGTAGGAGTAGGGGCAGGGCAGGGGTAGTAGGAGTAGGAGTAGGAGTAGGAGTAGGAGTAGGAGTAGGAGTAGGAGTAGGAGTAGGAGGAGGAGTAGGAGCAGCAGCAGCAGGAGCAGGAGCAGGAGCAGGAGCAGGAGCAGTAGCAGTAGCAGTAGCCGTAGCCGTAGCTGTAGCGGAAGCGGCAGCGGTAGCCGTAGCAGTAGTCGCAGTCGCAGTCGCAGTCGCCGTAGTGGTAGTGGTAGCGGCAGCAGCAGCAGTGGGGCTTCGGGGGTGGATTCGGGCTTGGCTCGCAATGGTCGATCTTTGATTTCGGTGCTGCGCAGTGCAACTCAAAGCAATAGCTTCTGCCTCCCCCTCCGTAATGATGTGTTGCCCCGGCACGAAGGTCTGTGGCTTCAAGCAGCTGACCAGCCTCGGTTGTCAAAGTCATACATTCGGCCATCGTGTGCAGGAGAAACCGGCTCTGCAGACCAACGTGTTCTGTCCGCTTGTCGGAATCGCGAGGCTTCGGCAGCTTGACATCTTGTGCAGCCATACCGAACCAGGACACTGCTCGGCTTTGCCGAGGGCAGCATCAAAGCTGGGGTGTGACTTGGCGGTGCTTCTGCACACCAAACCCGTCTGATGGAATGACTGAACCGTACATTATCGGGGATGCTGAGTGAAACCAGCATTTGCGTGCCTTCGGCAAGAGAGATGCGCCAGGATGAAATGTAGACCTCTGGCATAGACGGAATTGAATCCGCTTGCCACAGCTTGAGACGGCAGATACTGGCATGTAAACCCAGCAGTGCTTGGATGCGTCCGGGACACAGATCCTAGCCATGGATCTTCGAGTCCTTTGGCAACAAGCCGTTTATACGATACAGACTTTTTGTGCAGGGCAGGGAGTGGCACTTGAAAAGTGTTGCAAGCCAAGCCGCGACCCTTTCAAACAACTTCACGTCCTTCACCCGCCATTCCTGTGCGTGAGACCAACATTCCGTGCATTTCCCCAACTTGAAGGACCGCTAGCCTGCCTGCGTTAGCAGCACATGGACAAAGTCAGGCGGGTCATTTTCATTTATTTGACCTGACAACACGTCAAAGAGTGTCTCGCTGATCCCGTCTTGTTTACGTGCTCAATAACTACCAGGTTACCACTATTTCTTGTGACCCTCCTCCTTCTCAGCCCACCACCGACAATGGCCACACTTCACCATCTAACTGCTTTTGCTACTACGACGACGACGTTGGCTTCGACGACCACGACCACCACGACAACGACGACCAGCAAGACTACGACTACGACGATTACTATACTGCTGCTGCTTCGACGACGACGACTACTACTACTGCTGCGACTACCACCACCACCACCACCAGCTCCTGCTCCTGCTCTTACGGCTGCTGCTACTGCGGCTGAGGCTACTGCGAATGATTGTAATGGCGCCAGTAAAAGCAACAGTAAGGGTTTTTACTACCACTATACGACGACGATAACCGTCGGAAGTGATGTCCTGCCCGCGCTTTCGTCCCACAAAACTTAAAGCTGCTATCGTCATGTCTCTCGCTTTTGCGATCTGGAAATTTTACTAATGCTATGAAGATTATTGCTACTATGGACATGGAAATGCTAGATAAAGCCTTAACACTAAGCCCGACAAGCCTGCAACGAAATGAAACTAAAACCACCGAAACTGAAAATTCAGAGCAAACCCTAAACCCAAGCCCCAAGCCCTAAAGAAGATCTTTAACAGGAGGCCCTCAACCCTAAAAGGAGATTCTAAAAGAAAGCCCCAAACCCTAAACTGAAATGCTGGCTGACAAACCCCAAATTCTGAAAGGAGTCCCTGACCTCTGTTTGCTGCCAAACCCCATATCCGGAAAGAAAATGCTGGTTGGCAAACAAGTGGCTTGCATACCCCAAGCCCCGAACGGAAATGCTGTTTGACATCCTAAACCCTGACAGGAGACCCTGACCTGTTCTGGTTGGCGAACCGCATACCCTGAAAGAAAAACTTGGTTGGGAAACCGTAAACCCTAGAAGGAGATGTTGCATGACACGCTAGAAACTCGGAAGGAAGCTGTTAGTCTGTTAGTTGGCAAGCCATAATCTTGGTTGGTAAACCCACACCTTGCAGGAGACCTAGGCTCCAAAAGGAGATGTTAGTTGGCAATGCATCCCGTAACAGAAGATGTCGTGTCCCTAAACCCCAAGAGGAGACCGTGAACCCTTAAAAAAGGGAGATGTTGCCTTGCAAAACCCAAGCCGGAATAAAACATGTTGGCTGGCAAACCCAGAAAAGAAACTTTGGTTGGCAAACTACCAACGCAAAGAAAAGCTGCTGGCTGGCAAGCCCTTAACCCCAAAAGAAATGTTACATGGCAAACCCAAAACCATGCACAAAAGAACAAGATGCTGGTTGGCACTCCAATCCCTAAACGAAAACTCGAGGAAGGGTTTTTGGGAGGGACACCCGTTCCAAGCGTCTACGACTACCACGACCACCAGTACCACTACCAATACCACTACCACTACCACTACACTAGCACTGGCACCAGCACGAGCACCAGCACTAGCCACTAGCCACGACCAGCCACTGGCCACTGCCACCATCCTCCTCTTTCGCCTCCTCCTACTGCGATCACTACCACTGCTACTACCACCGCCCCTACCCTTACCCCTGCCCCTACTCCGCCCCTACCTGCCCCTGCTCCCGCTACTCGCTACTACTCCAGCTTGCCGCCCCTGCTCCCTGTATCAGTAGGCTGATCGTGCAGGTCCACCGTGGCAACCAAGCGGCATTTCACCCAGAACTCTGTGTCTTTGGGGCCCGAGGAGTATCTATACCTCTTGGCCTTAGAATGAGCAGAACCATGCCAGCATCACGACCCGCTCTGAAGGCTGCATTGAAACTCCCAACCTGCCCCGAACACTACTTTAACATAGACAGGGTGCTATTAGCTTCTCCATCCGAATTTCGGCTCTCGCAGCCTTTGCCTTGGCCTTCGATATGTGGTGTCAGTAATGTCCACGGTAGTTGCATTTTCAGACTCTCCCTTGCCTCCACCTGCACGCGGACTTTTTCCTGGACCTTCGCATTGTTGCAGATCTCCTGCAGAATTCGCAGAGCGGTGCCCACGAGGGAAGAAGCAATTGTGGTCCGTCGGGCCCGGGGCTCCTGAACTATGCGATTAGCCTCGCTCTCACCTTCAAAGGTGACCGGCGGCTTCTCCGGCTTCTCCGGCTCGTCTGCAATCATCTCGCCTCGGAGTCAGGGCCGCACTCTTAGCATAAGAACTCCAGCGGCTCCTGCGACGCCGTGTCCGCTGCGCGTGCTGTCTGCCAGGTGGCTCTGTTGCATTTGCGGTTGGAGGGCCGCGCGGGCCACGCCGACATGCTGTGAGCCGAAGCTTGGTCGGAAGATGCTGTCAAACTAAAACTCTTCGGAGCACCTGGCAAGCCAGAGTTTCCAAATCTTGGGAGCTTGCCGAAACTGTGTCTTGGCATCCAGAACTTTGTCTGACAAAAGTGGCACCTCAAGCTTCCGTTTCGCTATCGTGCCAGGCTCTGCTAGTCACACGTGGCCTTCGATAAGAACTGCCCACGCATTTCCTCGCTGTAATGCAGAAGGTCGTGCTGCTTCACATCAGTCGCTTAGTTGTCCCTTCCTATCCTTCTGCCGTTGCCAGTCCTGGTGCATGTATGCCATCAAGTCTTGCATACCTCGGTGAGTCGCATGATGTCTGCACCGCCAGCTGGTTTGCGGTATGCTTTGACTTGAGCTTGGGTACGTTGATTGTTGGCCTTCAACAGCTCGGAATGACTGGTATGCCTTCCAGGTTTGCTGCCTCTGCTTTTCACAACGTGGCAGATTTTCATGTGCCCTTCTCCCACCTACGCTCGTCCGAGACGATTTTGTCCTGAACGGTCTGCAGGGTCCGAGCCCAAGGCTTGCACCTGCACTGCGTAGAAGAAGCGTCGGCTGCTGTCTTCGCCGCCCGGCTGCTCTGGGCCGTTGGCTCGGGCAGATTGATGCTCAGATTGGACTTCCAAGGCTTCGTCGTCAAGGCCTTGACCTCGATTGGGGAAGGCACCGGACCGGATGGCAGCATCATTGCATGCTGTCTAGGTGTAGGGCCCCCAGGTCAAGCGCCATAGCTGGCGGCTCCGTCTTGTGCACTGGGGACGGGGACGGCGAGCCCTGCCACGCAAACATGCTTGTCTTCGCGTTCGCCAAGGCAGCCACAGGCCTCAGACTCCTCCTCGAGGATCGGGAGGCTCTGCCCTGGGCCAAGACGTGGTTCTGGAGCTCGCTTGGCCTTGGCAGCTTGAAACCCTTGCGAAGCAGAGGTTCACGTTGGCCATCCGAGGCCAGCACTTCTGTATGTCTGCTTGCAATAGGAGGCAGCCTGAAGAACTAGATGCCAGGCATCTTCGAGCTCACAGAGCTCGAGCTTACTCCCTCCGTCTCAGCCGCTTTGGTTTTGAATCCCTGCGTTTCTTTGCGTTACCTGTCTCTCTATGGCACAACGTCCTGTTTCAGCATTAGCAAGCTCTGAACGAAGATGGTTCCCACGGTTCGTGCTACAGGCGCACAGAAATCGCAGATCATTGCTAACATGACACCCCGAAGACGCGATACCTCGAATGCATTCGCAGACGCACAGGAAGTCTGTCGAGCCAGAATGTTCTTGCCAGAGGTTTCTTATTATTATTGTTCCACAGGGAAAACATGTCATTCCTCAGTCAGCACACCCATAGTTCTGCTGCCACTGCCGCTGCCACTGCACCTGCAGCTGCCACCGCTCCTCATCCTTCTGCTGCTCCTGCTGCTGCTCCTACACTCCTACGCGAAGTCCCACTCCGACTCCGACTCCTCCTGCTCTTCCTGCTCCTTTCCTCCTCCTTTCCTCCTCCTTGGATCATCCTCCCGCTCCCGCTCCAGCTCCCGCTCCAGCTCCAGCTCCTCCGCCTCCTCCTACTAATACTACCACAGCTGCTACTGCTCCTACGTGTCTCACCCTACCCCTACCCCTACCCCTACCCCTATTACCCCTACCCCTGAGACCCCTTCTCCTACCCCTTCCGCTGCCCGACTATTACTATCAAGCTACTCCTCCCACTACTACCACCACTGCAAAATACTAACTACTACCTTCTAACTACTGTCTACTAACTACCAACTACTAACTACCACCTACTAACTACTAACTGCTGACTACTGCCTCTAACTTCTAACTACTAACGACGACGACGACGACTACTACTACTACTCCTACTCCTACTCCTACTCCTACTCCTACTCCTACTACTCCTACTACTCCTACTACTCCTACTACTAACTACTACGACTACTGCTACTACTACTACTGCTGCTACTACTACTACTACTACTACTACTACCACGACTACCACTACCACTACCACGACCACGACCACCAGCACCACCACCACCACCACCACCACCACCACCACCACCATCAGCGGCACCACCACGACCACGACCACGACCACGACCACGACCATCACCACCACCACCACTACTACTGCTGCTGCTACTGCTTCTACTGCTTCTTCTTCTACTTCCACTTCCACTTCGTTCCACTACCGCTACCACCACCGACCACGACCACTACAACCACCACCACCAGCACCACTACTACTACTACTACTACTGCTACTACTGCTACTACTGCTGCTACTGCTGCTACTGCTGCTACTACTTCTTCTTCTACTTCGATCTCCACTTCCTTCCACCACGCGTACCACGACCACGGCCACGACTACGGCTACGACTGTGATGGCGACGACTACTACTTGTACTAAACCTAAACCTACCACCACCTCGACCTCCACCTCGACCTCGACCACGACCTTCCTTTACCTCTACCTCTACCTCTACTGCTACTGCTGCTGCTCTACTGCTACTGCTACTGCTACTGCTACTGCTACTGCTACTGCTACTGCTACTGCTACTGCTACTGCTACTGCTACTGCTACTGCTACTGCTACTGCTAATGCTACTGCTACTGCTACTGCTACTGCTACTGCTACTGCTACTGCTACTGCTACTGCTACTGCTACTGCTACTGCTACTGCTACTGCTACTGCTACTGCTACTGCTACTGCTACTGCTACTGCTACTGCTACTGCTACTGCTACAACTACTACTACTCCGCTCCTGGCCGCGCTCCCGCTCCCGCGCTGCCTCTCGATCCCATTCCGGCGGCGAGTGTAACTGCTGCTGGTGGTGGCGTGCTGCTGCTGCTGCTGCTGCTGCTGCTGCTGCTGGTGGTGGTGGTGGCACCGCTGGTGGCGCACCACCAGTGGCGCTAATGGATTACGATGGTGATTGTCGTTGCGAGTACTGACATAAAGCAGCCACTTGCACTCACCCTGGCTTCCTGCCTGGCGCTATTCGGCGGCTGCGGCTCCCTCTGCTTTGGCCTGAGGGCTTGGGCTGAGGCTGTACGCAATGAACATCAAGCAAGTTGGGCTTAAATGGACTGTCCTGGAGGAGTTCTATGCTTTTTCTGTGTCCCGACATGCATGTGACATCCTCGCCTACGCATGCACTGGATTCCGCGCCCTGATCTTTCGAGTTACTTCGCAGAAGTTAGCTCCACTCACTCGGCTGGCTTGTGCAATATGTTGACAAATTTTCAGGGTCAGTCAAGCCCCTGAGACTTGCGCTGCGAAGAGGGCTGCACCCTGCGCCGAATAGCAAGAAGCACAGCACTACTGCGTTTTCCAACTCCTATTACAGCCCCGTTCAACGTGAACAACATGCAAAACAAAAGATGCTAAATGTGCTTGTGTCAGTACATAGTACAAGTAATCCAAATGTGAATCACCAGAAACCCAGTGGCCATGTGAAGAAAGCTAACAAGCCTGCGTAAAATGCAAAAAACCTGAACGTTGCTCCGCTGGTCTGGAGAGAAAGTCCAAAGTCGAACTCGTGGGACTGGCCAGATAAACTGTCGCAGAGGGTTGGGGGTGGGGGTTTGGAATGGTCGAGGCGGTGGTTCGCATCAATGAAGGAACCGACAATGCACCCTGTCGCAGGCCTTGCACTGTGAGGGGCTTGAAGTGGCTTTGCCGCCCTGCACCGAGGCGAGTTGCGTGTCTTCGTATATCGTCTCACCCAGCCATGGCTGCGAAAGCTGCTTCGAAACCAGGCTGAGCGGAGTGCTCCTCGCTATCTGCGGGCTTGGCAGGCTCCCTGCAGCAAGAGGGGAGAGAGAGAGAGAGAGAGGGCTTTTCGCCGCTGCGCCGTACTATAGCTTGCTATAATGTACCTATGACATTCTATGGTATATTATCATATACTATAGCATCCTATAATATCCTCTCAAATAAGATAGTACACATGCACCATAGTATACGACAAAAACGATCATCTACGATGACAAGCTAGAACATATTAACAGTTAGTAACACATTCTGTAACATACTGTCGTATACTATAGCATACTACAACGTACTAAACTAGGCTACAACATATTGGCAACATACGAGAGCATCTACTGCTCGACTATTATGTGTCTACAACGTACTATAATGTACTATAATGTACTATAACGAATGCAGCTGCAATGCCTCTCTTCGGCCTTCGGTCTACGCCGCACAGATACAGGCGGAACTTCCTCGGCACAAAGTGCACTTGCGTAAAGGTCCGCGCTTCCCGGGTAAGGGGTTTGGGGTTTAGGACTACAAGCGAGCGCCGGGCCAAGTTGTGCCGCTGGCATAACCTCTGAGACAGGCAATGAAGGCTGAATAAAGTTGGCGTACAATGAACAACCCGGGTTTCCCAGGGTTCAAGCCATCTCAGCAACATGGCCTCGGGGTCAACCTCTGGACCTCGCTGCAGCTTTGCGAATCTTCTGTGAGTATTTCCACACACTGATTCACTGCGAGCCAGACCCCAGGAGTTTTTGACCTGAGCCCCACAGCTGTTTCGAGATGAAGGGAAGAAAGGAGGTACTAGCGAGGCCTCAGAAGTCATGTTCTCCAGGTGCGGGCCCAGGACCCGGCGCATATTCGCCTGGGCACAACAGCTTGACTTGGGCAGAAAATGCTCTCATTTGCTGCGGCTTCGACCGCCCATTCCGCATCTGTCATGGGCCTTTGGGGCCTGCTGGACAGGCGATGTCAGAGTCAAAGTCATTGCGCTCCAAGCTGAGATGCCTGTGGGGCCCTCCGCCCGCCAGCTCGTGACAGATTATGTCTCGAGCCGAAAGCGGTCAAGCGCGGGCCGATTGCACGGGCTACACCCCATGTGCCACCACTGCAACATCTCTCCGCAATCGGGCACTTCTGGGGCCAACCCAGTGCTACGGTGCGGAACAGTGTTTTCAAGCTTTCGGTTCCCGCGGCGAGTGTCACATGGCTGGCGGCGACCGTACGCTCCCATTCTCACATGCCGGGTAACGAGGCATCGGCTTTGCTGCCAAGGATGGAACTGTTTGCACACTTTGCCGTCAAGGGGCTGCTGGCATCTTGGAAACCGTTTCCGAGACCGAGAAGCTCCCTGTGGAGCAACGGACAGGACGAGCAGGACTGGTAAACCAGTCGAAGGTGAAGAAGTCATGCCATCGCTCAGCCACTGTAAGATCGCCCGACGGCTCCCTTGCCTCGCTCTTCCCGAAGGCGTTTTTATGACGGGCCCAGAGTCTTTGCCAGCAGAATTCGGAGAGCCGTGGAGAGCCGTGCCTTGCCGGCGGGCCTACTGAAAAAGCTTTGTGAGGACGTCACCATTGGCCGGTTCGCTCGCAAGAAGAGTCGGCAATGGCTCTGCCGGCTCCGCTGCGGCTTCGATGGGATTAAAAAGCTTTGTGAGGACGTCACCATTGGCCGGTTCGCTCGCAAGAAGAGTCGGCAATGGCTCTGCCGGCTCCGCTGCGGCTTCGATGGGATTGTTCCAAGTCTGCAGGATCTGCTGCACGGACGGCCTTTGCTGAGCACATCGCAGCAAAGGCATCACTCGAGCTCGCAGACACTCTGCTGCGCGGTCGGATGGTGTTTTGGTGAGTAAATTGTCGAAGGCATAACCTGTCATGTAGAAATCTTCCGCCACCGCACGGCAGGGCTGCCTGGCTTTACGTTCCGGGCTTGCTGCCTCGAAGGTGCCCGGAAACCTGTTAAGAATATCGTCAGCCTTCTTGAGCTCCATTGCTGCATCGAAGTCAATCAACTTAATATTGCAGCTCCACGGTCGGGCAAAACACAGGTTGGATTCCTTGATGTCCAAATGTGCCACCAGCATCCCGTGGATGTATGCCACAGCCTCGCACGTCGCCCGAAAGGCCCTGGCAAGGCGACGCCCGCTTAGTCGTCCATTGTCAGAAGCCCTTGCAAGGCTTTCGCCGAGCTGCTCCATGCCAAACCCGACCATAGTGCGCTTCTCAGA